CTCGCCGTTCTTCTTCTTTCTCCTCTTTCTTTTCGTTGTCGTCGTTCGTCGTCGTTGGCGTCGCGACGCCTGGACTCGCGTCTCCTCGAGAATCGACGATTCTTATCGCTTGGATGGCTTTACGCCGACTACCGCGACGAATGCCGAGGCGTTCGTAAAAGCAACCCCCGACGAGTGCTGTTGAATCGTTCCTGAAACACGCTGATCTTCGAATGGCACCACCATTCTTTCTTTTGCGAGTACCACGGATGCTCTTTGAAATCTCGAATTTCATTCTCCTCTTATTCAATGAATCGAACTACTACCAACTACTTTACCCATGTCTTTTTATTTTCGTTCACCCGTTAAATCGAGGAATAATTCGAGCTACCGTGTCTAATAATAATTATGATGATGATGATGATTATGATGATGATGATGATGATGATGATGATGATGATTATGATGATGATGATGATTATGATGATGATGATAATGATGATGATGATAATGATGATAATGATAATGATGATGATGATTATGATGATGATGATAATGATAATGATGATGATGATTATGATGATGATGATTATAATGATAAGTTTGCACCGTGGTTCAATTATCAATGATATGTTAGAAAAATTAATTACATTCTTTTTTTTTTTCTCTTTTTCTCGGAGCCATGTGTCAAGATTCGAAAATACGATCGTTGAAATTTACGGCCCATCGAACTGAAATATTTCGAGTGCATTTGGTTCCCCTCCTTAGAAGGAACTGCACCAGAGTGAAAAGTCTGCCAGAAAGTGAGAGAGACAATGGTTTTAATATCTCTTTTTATTTTTTTATTAGAACAGAGAAATCTCTGAGGCATCAACGAATTTCTGTTACGCATCGGTTAAGTCATCCTGGTTCGACTAATTAATAAACGTTCTAACGAGTGCTCATGTCTGGAATGATGGCGCAACGAAAGGGATAGGTGAACGTTTTCGAGTTAATTTCTATAGGGATTTGGATGGATCAATATAACCTTTCCGTGGTCCTCTGTGCATATTGATTCGAGAGAGTAAATTTGCCCTTTTTAACCTGCTCTTTATCTTCTCTCTTTTCTGCTTTTTATATTTTCCATAGATATTTCCAGCAACGTTCGAAATACTTATCGAGTACAAATAAAGAAAAACGATTTTTTCTCTCATAAAAGTATGTAAGTTCTAAGGTAGTTTAGGGGGAAAAAAGATAAAAGACAAAAATGTCCAATATGAATGAAAATTTGAAGGAAGATTTATAAAATCCGTTCTTTCTATTTCGATCGATTCTATTCACGATCAAAGGCCAGAGAACCGCTACTATTCACGGTCTACAGCTATAATTGGAAATCACTCGAAGTCTCTCAAACGCGAAAAATTCTGTATAACGAGCGTGTATGTGTCCGCTCATAGCGGCATACTAGTGTAATAAAGAGAAAAGAGAAAAGTGGATAGAGGGAAAAGGAAATGATGAGAAGGAAGAGGAGGAGGAGGAGGAGGAGGAGGGGCAGCAGGAGTGAGGGGTCGAGCGCGGAGGAGCGAGCATTTCTTCGTGTGGTGCACGTTGAAAGAGACGAGTGGCACTCGTAGGGTCGAGGGTCCTTCGAACGGCGAGCCATGCCCCATGGGGTTGCTATCGACAATTTCCATCCATGGCCAAGCTTTCTCGCCTCCGCCCTCTCTCCTCGAGCGTAATCCTCGACGCGAGTTTGCGAAAAGCGAGCGAGAAAGAGGACGGAGGAGAAGGAAGAAGAAGAGAACAGGGAGGAAAAAGGGAATAAAAGAGAAGGGTAGTGAAGGGGAGAGGCGGCCATGTTGGCGAGGGTGTGACCAGGGGGTGTTGCCACGAGCTCGGTATCCATGACGACCTCCTTCCACCCTCGACAGAGGCCGGAAGCGAGAATCCGCGAGGCGGTGCGCTCGAACCGCCAACCGGAAGTAGCCGCTAACCGGAAGCCCTAACGAGTAGAAATGCCAGAAGGGAAAGGAGGCCCTCTCTTATTTGAGGAGAGGGGAGAGGAGCACTCGACCGGCAGAAAATGAGGAAGAAAGAGTCGATTCCCCGTTGATATACTTACACTGAAGCCACCCTACCGTGACGTTGGATGATCGATGACAATGTTGCCTTCATACACGCTCAAGTAGGCGAGTACGTGTCCGAGCGAGACTATGTGTGCTCTCGGATCTTCTTTGCTCTCTACGAAGAAGCTTTCGTTCGATACAGTCGTTTAGTAGGTTTAAACGATAATGCTTTCGTGTAAGTGCATTAGCGTGCATCTGATCGTTTCTTGCAGCGTGAGCTCACTTACGGTTTGCTTTTACTTGTCCTTCTCTATCTTCTTTCCTTCCTCGAACTCGTCGCTGCTGTTGTTGCTGTTACTATTGGCACTGCTGATAGTGCAGTTACTGCTTCTCTCTCTTCTCTTTCTTCTTCTTTCTTCTTTCTTCTTCCTTTAGTATTCGCAAAGACACGTTTTTGCTTCTGAAGGGAAGTAGACGATACGCTATCTTCTTCTTGCTTAAATGGGCTACATAGTCGTTAACGCGTTTCTTTCTTATACCAGTTGGCGCGTTAAGGTTACCTACTCTTTTTTTTTTCCTTTTATTTTTATAAATCACAGCTGATCTTATAATCTTTTCTTTTTTTCTTATATCGGCGAATGAGGTAAAATATTCTATCATTGAAAAAAATTAAAGATTAATAACTACTGATTCTAATCGGACCGGTTACGAGTGATCCCCACTTGCGAGCAATTAAATAACGATCGGTTCGATTGATCGATCATGCATGACTATTGCTCGCTACCACCTACAACGATTTGATTCTATACTCCTTCCATCTATACTTAAGCATAAACGCTTGTTATGAAATTGTGAATTACTGCAATTCCTATGGATTACTCGTACGAAGGACCTTCTAACGATGACTTATAGCTCGCTTAAGTATCGGTGCCAAATACGATGAAAAGGGAACGTTTTATCGTATGTTTTTACTACCCTTTTATGTATGATTTTCAGTTGCGGTCTGTGCGCTATGATGGTGGTCGAGAGACACGATTATTCTTACCTTCAACTAGTAATTGCGCTTTTTCGAGAATCGCGTAAATAAATATTTATACTTGCGCGTAAGTAATGCCCGTGAAAGAGAACAGCGGAACGGATTAACGGTACAGACACGTCAGCTTTTGCGTGCACGCAATTTTTTGTACAAGCGAGAAGAGCATGGCGAAGGAACGATGTGCAGGAAAAATTATTTTATCTTGTAAGGCTCGGTCGATGAATGAACATTGCTTGGATTAACGAGAGAGAGCCGTGTCTATCAAGAAAATAATTATTACGATCTTTTTCTTTCTCTTTCTTTTTCTTTCTTCATGGAAAGGTAGTGCGTGTAAACGTTCTCTGGATCTACCTATCTACTATCTACGTACCTGGCAAATCAATGTATTGCAGTTAAGGATTGAGAAGTCATTAAAAAAAAATAAAGAATATTTAAATGACGTTATATTACACTGCTCGCGTTATTATTTTGAAAAAGTCAAATTGCTTTTTATTGTTTGTCACGTTTTCTTTTACCTCTCCGTGTTCTTGTCTCGAGATCTCACCGAACGACATGCTAGGTGATTTTGTTATTTATGTACATGATAGAAGATCTTTCGTACGAGAGAAAGATATATATATTAAGCGTAAAAGTAAGAAGATCGACGTTGTAGATCGTATCTATATAAAATAGAATCAACAAGGTGCGAGTTGAATTTTCCAATTCAATGCATCGCTAGTTAGAAACAAATTTAATCGAAATTACGAAACGGCTAATGTGCTTCGAAATTTCATTAAAACTCTCTTTGAAAGTTTTCATTTAACAAGCATCACGATTTGCGGTAAGGAAAATAACGGATACGATGGCGTTAATATTTATTTGAAGAATATCCCTTATCCTCCCCTACCCTCGCCATTTCAGCCCGCCTTTCGTACGACTTTCTACGAAACATAGAACCAGCCCTTCCCGTTAAATCTGACTGTCGGACCGGCACCGTAACAGAACTTTTCGAGGTGGTACTCTATCGATTGGCCACGCCCAGTCGGCCATTTTCGTTGCAATTAACGAATTCGTAATTAATTAATGCACCCTTTGCCCGTTCCCCTTTCACCTACGCGCTTTCTTCTTTCATGCGTAGAGAGGCAGACCCTTTTTTAGCTTTTGGATTCCTCCTTCCCTCTATCTCTTTTTTTCTCTCTTTATCTCTCTCTCTCCTCTCTCTCTCTCTCCTTTCGTTCTTTTTCTTTGTACGTACGTACGTACGCGCATTTAATATTTTTGTACACATCTATACGAACGTAAAGCAGACTTTAGCGCGAGCGCGCGTTTCGAGTACCGAGAGAAAAATAGAGTGAGAGAGGAAAGAAGAGAAAAGAGAGAGAGAGAGAGAGAAAGAAGGATAGAGAGAACGACTCATCGCTCGAAATCGACGTGCAGCCTGGCGTAAATTAAATTTTAATTAACGTCGAGGGAGCTCAAGTAATCGAGCCGACGAGATCCAAATGGAACTTCGTGAGATTCTATCTACTTCTATTCGCTTGTAAATAACGTCGTATAACTTTACGAAATCGCGGTAAGATAGGCTCGTTATTATCCTTGTAATATTCGATAGAAAAAAAAAGATAAAAAGTTGCAGAGGCATCTAGAAAGTTGTTATTAGGAGGATCAAAAGGTTGAGTAGAACGACAAAGTTATTTCCGATGATGAGAATAACGTTAACGGAAACATGTATCCTCTTGTAAATTGTTGCATGTGTGAAATATTTCTCGGATAACTCTTCTTTTTATTGAGATAAAGAGAATCAGGAAATGATTAGCTTGAGACTAAGATCGGATATCATAATAAGGGATTGGATTTGTTTGAACTCGATCACTACAAAAAATTTTGTTTCTTATTTTTATCGCTCGTCTTATTTTGAAAAAGAAATAGAAACTTAACATATATTGTATTTTGTGTTTCAGGTAAGTCAAGTGTATTGGTTGCAGTTTTGGATGTAACTCAAAAAATAAGATTTGGATAATTAAAGACAACAGCGACGATGAACAACTTCCTTTCACGTCTTTATTTCCGGTTTGAATTTAGATAATAATTAATTAACGAGTTAAAATATTGTGGTAACGATCATAGGGATGTAGATAAGTAAACCTATTTCGAGGAGCAAAGTTTGTTAAAAAAGAAAAGATAAAAAAAGAAGTAAATAAAATTCATCGTCAGAGATCACGGGGGTCGGATCGGGATAATTGTTGTCGCAAAGATCCGAATCTCTCGGTATCTTTTATTCGACGAATCACGATAGTCCCCTCTTTTGAGAACTCGTACAACGCAATTATCTTTAACACACGACTTCCGGACTGATCGTCCTTAATTTTCTGCGTGAACTTACGAGTCCAATTAGAGATAGATTAAAAAATCGGTTAACATTATTATTCTCAGTGCTTCTATTTCTTCTTGTTTCGAATTTGTTCAGAACGACGAGAAGAACGACGAGAAGAACGACGAAAAGAACGACGAGAAGAACGACGAGGAGAACGATGAGAATTAACTTTATAAAAGACTATAGAGACTATTTTAAGTATAGCTAACGGAGAAAGTAATTAGGCGCTATATGATCTTCTCTCATCGATCGTCCTTTCGTATTCAGAGGACCGGTTTGTACTGTTGCATCGTTCATTTCAATTGATTTTCGTTCGCAGATACATCATTCTACCTTCGCGACAGGAAATAGCGTTCTTATAACAAATGAGAGCCAGCGGAGTCGCCAGTAGATATAAATCATTTTTCTTCGTTTGTTAAATTAAAATGTAAATCGATACCCATTGCAGTTTCTTGAGTACGTGCGTTCGTATCGGTGTCAAACAATACACCTCTCGTCTTTCTCACTGCATATTAACTAATGGACGTTGAACGTAAAAATGAATTGAAGAAATATTTTCTTTCGATCGATTTTGATCACTCGATTTTGACCTTCTTTTTGTCCAACATTAATCACATCTTTGAGTTATTACAGCCAAATCTTTTCAATCACTCTTGCATTAATTTAACGTCGCACGAGAACAAATCGTTGAGACTGTTTATTCCTCGATGATCGAATAGCGATCACTTTGAAGGACAATTTCTGACAAATGAGAATGCGACTAGTTAGCAATTATCCTTCTACAATCGGTAATGAAACGTCGCTCGTTATTTAATGTTAAGATTGCCGGGATAAGCAATTAAAAAAATTAGAGACATTTTTTGTTTTAATTTCTTGATCTATCTATGACACACTGTTTATATAAACAAGTTGATAGGCAGTATATTAGATCGTAAGTAATATTCATATTTCGTCGTAGGAGTTTTGCTTTTATCGAAGTAGTAATGGGTTGTTTTGTTCACGATAAATCATTTGCATCCTCATTCGATTTGCAATCAATTAGCATTTTATCTCATATAATTTCAAATATCTTCTCATTCAAGTATTCCTTTTTTTATAGTGTGTGCATTTTTTTTCTTTTCAGCGGTATTGATATGTCTATTTGTGCTGTCAGAGCAAAGAAGACAAAGGGTTTAATGTTGCATGCATTTTTACTTTTTATTTCATTCTTTGCTCTTCTTTGTTAATAATAATAATAATAATAATAATAATAATAATAATAATAATAATAATAATAATAATAATAATAATAATAATAATCCATAAGATAGACCTTGACCCTAATGGTTATAACTTTCTTACTTGTCATTAGAAATACATACCTCTTCCAAACCTTTTTAATTTTTTATCATATTATTTTGTTTAAATCCTTCATTTTTGATTGTGTCAAGCAGAAAGCTTGCACACAAGAAGAACGTGCAATTCAGTAATGGATAAAGTTTCTACAGCAAACCTCTAATTAAGGTGGACACCTATAAACGCATATTTGTCGATGTCACGAAGAGTATGTTTCACGAGTCTTCACGGAATTTTGTATTTTGTTTTTTGACAATCGGCTAATGAAACATTCGATTTTATTCTCGCGTTACGACGATAAAGAAGAATCGTTGTATTATTCACCTACGATCTTTAAGATTTTATCTTCTCAATGAGTAATTAATCTTTCGATTGGATACGAAGTTTACTTCATTAATTTATATCTCATAAAATGGTATAGTATAATCGTCATTGGGGATTTGCAAAGTGTGTCTTACTATTAAAATAGAAGATATTTTTTTCTCTTTTAAAAATGATATTTTTATTCGTCTTACACATAGTCTCTTCTCTTTCGTTCAAACGATTGGCTTAACGATGCTATAAACTATCCAGGAAGCGAAGGAAAACGGAAGAAGGCATGTAAACGTCGAATTTACGGCTATTATATTCTTGTTAATGCACACTAACATAAGGAAGACATTCCCACGCTACGGTGCCCCATAGCCCAGCACTCTTGTCATTAGATTTATAGAGTGTAATTAAATCGCAGCTGCGTTTCATGAAGGAAACTTTGTAAAAAGAGTATTGCGATAAAACGCTCCCGTTTGCTTGACCTTAAGACCGTTGATTTTTCGAATGTGAAAAATTTGCAATTAGGATAAAAAACGAGTAATGTAAGTCTACGCGCGACTTCTTATACTTCTTATTTTAATCACCAACGTTGAGTTGGTTAGCAATAAATAACACGAGTGTTACGTGAAGGATTTTCTCACGTTTTGAAATTTCAGACGGTCATTAATTCAGTCAAGGCGATTATCGGATATGAGATAGAAAAATAACAGAAATGAGTGGGAGTGTAGAGTGTTAAATTACAATGCTTATCGAGATATAAAGTTCGATGAGGAGCGTGAGAGGTATCGTACACACGTTACGTTGCTCGCGTAAACGCGAGTCTCGAGGTATTTTATTTACGAGAGTCCGTTGATTGGTAAGAAAAAAAATCAATCATGCATAAGTAAACTTGAGAGTAAACTGTAAATGGTGTTGTTGTTTACCTCGCGAACGGAGATGTCCGATAGGCGTTACGTAACGCCAACTTGCTAACGAAATAATTTTTTACTTGGAATGTCGAAACGAAATAAGTATTAAAAATACTCGAATCATGTAACCGAATTTAATCAGGAATAATTTAATAATTTTTTTATGTAATTGTCTTTTATATTTTAATTTCTTTTGTATTTTTTATAAAAGAAAGTTAAATAAAACTGTGAAAGTCGATGTTGTTGCATTGTCGAGTTTATCCAAATTTAAAATGTTGGTATTTTGTTAGATGAAATCTTGATGGTTACCACGAGGTAAGGTCAGAGGGTTGCGTATGGCTAATTTGTTACAAGATCCCGATATAGCATTAGTTTGTGATATTATTAATTAGTCGGTGTGACGTCTTCATTCGGTTATTCCTTCAATTACGTTTTCCGATCGGCGGATTCATGACGAATTATCGTCGTAAATCATGCCATTCGATCTTACGTCACGAAACGATCGCCCATAGAAATAATTAGCAGTAAATTGTTTAGGAAAGCGTCGAAAGACGGGCAAATGTTTTACTTTCTATGCATCTTTACTGCGATTGCTTGAAGAAGAAGAAGAAGAAGAAGAAGAAGAAGAAGAAGAAGAAGAAGAAGAAGAAGAAGAAGAAGAAGAAGAAGAAGAAGAAGG